CGGCCAGTGCCTCCGGCAGCCCCCCCGGCGTGGGCAGCGGCAAAGGCTCCCGGCCCAGCCTCGGCACCCTGAACCGCAGCCACCTGCAGCGCCTGGCCATCGCCCAGTCCCGCGTGCTCATCGCCTCCGGGTGAGTCCCACAGGGTGCTTGGGTGGAGAAAGGGACAGCACAGGCTTTTCCCCCTGCCCAGGGCACAGAGGGGCTGCAGCCCCCACTGCAGGGGTCTGTCATCCCTGGGAGTGGTGGGAGACACCTCGGTGGTCCCCAGCCTCCCGTGGAGGGTAGTGGGTTCTGCTGGGCCCCTCGCCTTCCCTGCAGGTGCCTGGGGACCGGAGTAGAGATGGGGTGGCTCCTGCATCTCAATGAAGAGGCTGAGGCTGCTCTTTCTCTTGGAGTCAGGGGTTGGGTGGGGGACTGCAAAAGGCCCAAAGAAAAGCCATTCAAGCCCCATGAGAAGGGGTTCCTCCAGACCCCCACCCTCCAAAAACTTTTTTTGTGATGGGGTGGACATTTAATGGGCCTGTTTCTCCCCTTTGTCTGGCTCTGCCATCAGCCTTCTGTCGCAGCCTGGCCCCTTTCCTCTCCCTCTCCATCCTCCCCCTTCCCTTCGCTCCTGACCTGCCGGGAAACTTTCCCATGGAAGAGAGCCCCAAGGGGAGGGGGGGAAAGAACTGTGACGTGGCTGTAGGAGAAAAGAGGAAAAGAAACAACAGACTGGCCCGGGGAGCTGTGACAAAAAGGGGCCATGAATGGAGATGCAGTCAGGGTTTCTAAAGCACCAGAGAAAAGGCGGTGGTGGGGCAGGGGGGGGCACGTTGCCCCATCGGGGGATTCTCTCTTTCCAGCCAGGGCCTGTGCAGTTGCTCAGGCAACTGTTGTGTGGCCCTTGGGCCCTGTGGGGATGTGGGTGCCTCCTGTCTGTCCTGACCTGGTGTCTGCTGGCTCCCCTCAGGGTCCCCACCGTTCCTGTGAAGAACCTCACTGGCTCCAGCCCCGTCAACCCAGCACTGGCAGGTGAGGATGGGGCTGCAGTGGGTGTGGGGGGACAAACAGCCCCAGTGGGGTAGGTTTTGGAGAGCATCTGAGGTTCGGGGTGTTGCTGGTTTTCCTCAGTGCCATTTGTTACCTCCTTGTGCAGGGATCACGGGGATCCTCATGAGTGCGGCCGGGCTGCCCGTGTGCCTGACCCGGCCCCCCAAGCTGGTGCTGCACCCCCCACCCGTCAGCAAGAGCGAGATCCAGTCCATCCCCGGCATCTCCCACTCCTCCCGCAAGACCACCAAGAAACAGGCCAAGAAAGGTAAGAGAGACTGTCCCTCCTGCCCTTCTGGTTCCCCCGTGCCCCCCATCCCTTCTGCTGCCCCTGGCAGTGGGTTTCTCCCATCCTTTGACTCTCGCTCTCCTGCAGGTAAAACCCCGGAGGAGGTGCTGAAGAAGTACCTGCAGAAGGTGCGGCATCCGCCCGATGAGGTGCGAGCGGCAGGGCTGTGCCCGAGTGTCCTGGGACGAGCTTGGCCCTGGGATGAGCTTTGCCCTGGGATGAGTGGCTGGGGACACATGCAGTGCCACGTGCAGGGATATCCCAGTGCCCTGCGTGGCTCTGCCCTGTCCCCAAAAAGGGGAGGACTGCATGCACAGCCCCTACAGGTCCCTGGGTGAGAGCAGGGCAGTCCATCAGCATCCATCCCTCTGATCCCTGTCCTCCCCTCTGGCGCAGGACTGCACCATCTGCATGGAGCGGCTCTCTGCCCCCTCTGGCTACAAGGGGCCCCAGCCGGCTGTCAAGCCTGACCTCGTGGGGAAGCTGGTCAAGTGCAGCCACGTCTTCCACCTCCACTGCCTGGTGGCCATGTACAACAACGGCAACAAGGTGAGAGGCTGCGGCCTCGGGGCACCTCCGGCTCAGCTGCCTCTGCTGAGCTCCACGAGCTCTCCATGGGACAGAACTCCAGCCTGGCTGCCCTGGAGGACTCTCAGCTCCCACCCTGACTCAGAGTTAAATTTTTATCAGCAGCAAGCACTTGGGGGCTGCTAAATGAGAACTCAGAGTTGTGTGGGTGTGTTTCCCCCCACTATGCCTGGTTTTATGTGCTTGTTATCCTTGCCAGAGTGGACTTCGATCCCTGCATGTTTGAGCAGAGCTACCTGGGATTTGGTGCCAGGCAGTGCTTCTCCAGCCACAGGAGGGTTTTTTCCAATACCCCTCGTGCTTGACATTCCCTGGAAAATGCACTGTTTGGAGATTTTCAATATTTATTGTATTTCCCTCTTTGAAAGAACAAAGGAAAACAAGCCACCAATTCAAGGCTAGGGAAAGCAGTGAGGACTGGAAAACTGGTGTGGAAGAGAAACACAGAGCTCAGGTTTTTGGATGGAGTTGGGTAGTGAATTCTCCCAGCCCTATCCTAGGTTGCCGAGAGTTTTTGAAGTGATGTTTTTCCCAATTAAAGCAGCGTTCAGTGCTGCTCAAGCACTCAGTGCCTGGGGTGGCTCGGTGCTGGAGATACTGGTTTCACTGTGTCACCCTTTTTCCACTCTCAGGATGGGAGTCTGCAGTGTCCCACCTGCAAAACCATCTATGGGGTGAAGACAGGGACTCAGCCTCCCGGGAAGATGGAATATCACATCATTCCCCACGCGCTGCCCGGCCACGCCGACTGCAAAACCATCCGCATCATCTACAACATCCCCCCGGGGGTGCAGGTGGGCTGGGGGGGCACCTGGGGAGGGGCTGGTGGCCCTTGTCACTGCTGTATCACCCCCAGGTCCCTCTGCAGCTCGTGCCTTGACTCAGGAGCTGCTTGTCTATAAGGATGTTGTGGGAAGTCTGGGATGTATCTGCATGGAAGTGCAGTCCCTGTCTGCTTGGTGGCGGGAGGATGGTGGCCCTTAGTGCCCAACAAGGCTTGGGGGGTTGCCCTGTGCCCAGAGCATCCTTTTGAGCTCCAGAACGGTTTTCTTCTCCCACTTCCCACATCGTAGGGACCAGAGCATCCAAACCCTGGGAAGAGCTTCACGGCCCGTGGCTTCCCCCGGCACTGCTACCTGCCAGACAGCGAGAAGGGCAGGAAGGTGAGCTGGCCGAGACATGCCAGGGTGGGAAAGGCAAACATGGCTTAAGCAGGGGAATGTGGGTTTTCCCCACAGCCCATCCAGCAGGAGCCCTGTGACCTTCCCTTGCAGGCTGGGCAGCCTGGTCCCCCTGTTTTGGCTGGGGCAGGAGGCTGGGCTGGGATGCTCCAGCAGGGCTTGCCTGTGGGCTGCCCATGCTGCCCTGCTTTGCTGCCCACCCCATTCCTGGCCCTACAGGTACTGAAGTTGCTGCTGGTGGCCTGGGACCGGCGGCTGATCTTCGCCATCGGAACCTCCAGCACCACGGGCGAGTCGGACACGGTGATCTGGAATGAGATCCACCACAAAACAGAGTTTGGCTCCAACCTCACTGGCCACGGCTACCCCGACATCAACTACCTGGACAATGTCCTGGCTGAGCTGGCAGCCCAGGGCATCACGGAGGAGAGCCTGGCGCAGGAGAAGGACTGAGACCGTGGCGAGGAGGCAAGGAAAGGGTTGCCTGTGCCGGCACCCACCAGGATAAAGCTGCTGGAGATACCTGCCTGGGGGCTTTTCAGGGCAAACCTGGAGCCCCCTGCTCCCAGTGGCAGCCACGCAGTGCCCCAGGCTGGCTGGGAATGTGGGAGAAGGTCCTTTTGGCCATCCCCTTCACTCCTGCAGGGCGGGAACATCCCTACACACAGCTGTGGGGCTTCAGGCTGGCTTGGCCACCCTTCTGGATGGTGTCCTGTCCTTGCTGTCACTGTGCTGAGGGCTTGGGGGGTGCCAGGCTCCCCTCTGTCCTCATCTATGCCAGTCCCAGCCTGACCCAACACCCCTGCCACCCACCTGGGGCTGGGACATGGCTTGGGGTGGGAGCTGGGGCCACGGGAGTCCCCTTTGCTCTGCCTCGTCCCTCTGACGTTTGTTTGTTTGTTCGTTCTGTCCGGTACCTCCCCACTGGTCTCCTGTGTCTGTGGAGGCTGGGGGGCCCTGGGCTGCCTCAGTTTCCCCCAGTCCTGCACCCCCTGCTCCTTTTGGCTGTGTCTGAGCTGTGCCCTGCAGGGTCCCCTTGTCTGGGCTGCCCCTGCCTCTGCATGCCAGGGAGGGGCTGATGGGTGGTAGGAAGTGTGTTTGGGGCGGGACAATGACATCCCTCCCCCCTGCAGTGGGTTCCTTGAACTGTTCGTATGGGGCCGTCCCCACGTTGGAATTTCTATATACCTCGTGTTTTGGGGTTTTGTCGTATATATGTACATATAGGGGGGGCATTTGGGGGGGCAGCCTGGGAGAACGTGGTGCTGCAGCCAGGCTGGGGCTGGGCACAGTGGTGCTTGGGGTTGGGACAGGGGCTGTGGGGCCCCCAACCCCGACAGGGCTCTGCCCCACGGGAGGGCTGTCACTTGTGGGTCCCCATGGGGCCAGGTGCAGGTGGGGTGAGAAGTGTCCCCCTTCCTGCCCCCGGAGAGGCCTTGGGGGGGGTCTGGAGGGGAAGGTGGCTGGTGAGGGGTTGGCACGGGCTGGGTCAGGAGGGTGGTGTGGGTAGGAGAGCGTGGGTGTTGGGGGTGGGGGAAGTGTGTTCCAAGGCTCTGAGGGTCCCTGTCAGCCCTCTGGGGCGACTGGGCCTTGGAGAGCCCTGGGCTGGTGCAGAGTGTCCCTGCCCAGGGCAGGGGTTAGGAATGAGTCTGTGGGGTCCCTTCCATCCCAAACCAGGGATTCATGGGGGCTCCTGGAGCCACCTGTGCCGGGTGCCGGGGGGTCCTTGGCCCTCCGTGCTGCTGGGAGGGGGGCCCGTCCTGCTGTGCATCGTTCTGTTGTCGTTGCTGTTCTTCCTCTCCGTGGCCTGGAGGCTCCGTCAGCCCCGCGGCCACCCCGTGGAGGGGCTGGGGGTCAATAAAGCGGATGGCAGGGGACTCTGGCGGTCCCTGCACGGCCTGGCCTCTCCGTTGTCTTCTGTCAGTCATCTGTGTGGCCAGGCGAGCCAGGGGCACTGTGGGCACCGCGAGTCCCCCTGATGTCCCTTTGCACCAGCCGCCCTCAGCGTGGGTTGTTACCTTCTACCTCAAGGGAGAAACCCTCTTTCCCCGGGCACACGCCCCTGGTCGGGTGGCTCTCAGCGGTGTGATTTCTCCTCCAAGCACGCCCTGGGTTTTCCCCAGTGCAGACAAAGCCTGTCTGGAGCTATGCAAAACCCTCCGGGCGAGAAGGGGGAGAGCTCCCCACCCTCCGCGGTGCCAGCCCGATGGCTCTGACTGTGAGTAAGTCTTTCCACAACGTGACTTTTTTTTTTTTTTTTCTTTTTTTTTTTTTTCCTTTTTTTTAATGCTCTGTTGACTACACGACGAGTTGCTGGCTGAAATAAAACTGCTCCGTGCCTCTCTGCATGCGTGTGTATATCTATCCCGATAGATATACATGGAGACAGGGGTTGCGGCTTGCAGCATGCAGGACTTGGGAAATAACCCTCCACGGGGCCCCTCTGCTCCTTCCTTTTCCTTTGGGTTTGGGGTACAAGGGGAGGGGGCGCTCAGGGCACCTGCCAAGTCCCCTCCGGCTCTTGCTGGTACCCCTCGGCCACGCTCAGCACCGTGCTGTGCTCGGGGCTGGCGGGGGCCGGGCTGTCCCCTGTGCCCAGCGCTCGGTACCCCCTGGCCCTGTAGCGCCGGTGGCCGTACCAGGCTGTCCCCAGGACGGTGGCCAGCCCCGCCAGCACGGCCACGGTGACTCCAGCCACCTCTCCCCCTGACAGCCCCCGGCCCCTGACCATTTCGGCCACGTTCTGGACCTCCTCCGGCCGTGCCAGCCGCCAGACGTGGCTCTGGCCGTCCCTCACCCAGGTGCTGTCCCCGTCCCGCACCAGCAGGGTGTCCACGGCCGGCAGGTTGGCGGGGCGCCGGGTGAAGGGGGGCAGGCGGGCGGGCGGCAGCGAGCCCCCAGTGAAGCGGCCGGCCTGGACACAGAACTGCACCTGGCAGCTGTCGCTGATGAGTGCCAGGTGCTGGCTGAAGCCCGGGGGACAGCCCTTGGCGTGGGGGTCCTCAGCCGTGCCGTGGTGCTGCCCAGCCAGGGGGTTCCCCGCCTGGCAGCTGAAGAAGCCCCCGAAGGGCACCGCGTACTCGGTCCCCTGCTCGTAATCCTGGCTCACGCACACTCTGAGCTCGCCGAACAGCTTCAGTGGGAAGTAGCCCGAGGGACAGGACTGGGCTCCGGTGTTAGGGTTGGTGCTGTGGGTGCTGAACAGCCCCCCAAAGAGGTATCCCGAGTTTGGAGCCACCGACCTGTTCGCGGCGCACCAGTAGGCGCTGAACTGCACCCGGGAGAGCCAGAAGACGTCCTGGCACTTGCGGTGGCAGAAAATGCCCAAGGTGCACTTGTTGTGGCACTCCAGGTGGCTGTGACCCTCCTCCTGCTCCTGCACACCCAGCAGCACCGGGGTGTAGGTGGCGGGGCAGGAGAAGGCCCCGGTGAGGGGGTTCCTCTGCTCCAGCGCCCGGCACAGCGCGCCGGTGTCGGGACCGCCCAGGCCGACGCACTCCTGGAAGACTCCCCCGAAGGTGAAGTTGGCCATGGTGCCCTTGCAGGAGCCGTCGTCGGTGTTGGCGTGGAAGTTGAAGTTGGGTGAGGAGGCGTCGGTGCAGCCCGGGGCGGTGTTGAAGGCGTAGTAGCGGCGGATGGCAAGCTCCACGCGCTGGGCCACCCTCCGCACCGTGGGCGCCGGCAGCTCCGGCACCGCGCTCGGCTTGATGAAGTAGTACAGGGGCAGCCCCGAGCGGTCCAGGGCCACCAGCTGGTTTTGAATCCTCTCCTGCCACGTCTTCAGGGTGATGCCTGGGTAAAAGGGGGTCCCGCCGATGCTCTCCACCCTGGAGTTGGTGCGGTTCTCCAGGTACTGCTTGGTGAAGGCAGAGCTGGAGTCCAGGGATTCTTTGGTTCCCACACTGACGATGCTGTGGAAGGCCGCGCCGGCCGAGGCGGTGACGGTGCTCCGTGTGGCCCAGCTGTCCTTCAGGAAGGTAGCCTTGATCTGGTCCTCCTGCACCAAGGTGGCTCCCGCGTCCACGGAGGTGATGGCGTGGGTGCCGTAGTTGAGCACCAGCATCTCGGCCAGAAAATCGGCCATCTGGGTCTGGTTGTTCTCCAGGTGGCTGGCGATGGTCAGCAGCTGCTTCTTGAAGGCCTTGTCCAGGGCCGCCTCGGGGTCGATCTTGGCAGTGTAAACCAGGTTCCTGACTTGCACCCGAGTGGTGACAGCCCGGTCTCTCACCTGGTGGGTCTTGGTGCGGTGGAAGTCGTCGGAGAATTTGCCATTGATGGAGGAGAAGAGTGACAGCTCCAGGTTGATGGAGGCAGAGGTGATGCTCTGGTAATCCTTCCAGGACTCGATGATCTCGGAGTTGATGTCCAGGTTGCTCTGCTTGCGGGGGATAGTGAAGATCTCGTCTGGGATGAGGTAAGATCCATCTTCTGTGGTCTTGCACTGTGAGTAGCCCAGGTTGATGACTTTGCCCATATCCAAATTCCTGAGGTTATCCCAGCCCCCCCCCGGCAGAACTTCCAGGCGTGAGAGATTCAAGTTCTTGCTGCACACCCCAAACCCTGAAGAGGACAAGAGTTCCTGGGACTGCCCAGCCCCTGTCTCCCATGCCAGCAGTGCCCAGGTGAGAAAGACCCCCCAGAGCCCCCAGCCCATGGCTGGACCCTCACCAGTCCGGGCGGTGGGACAGGAGCGGTGAAAATGAGCTGGCTGAGGGAATTGACAAAAGAGAAAGAAGAAGTGATAACTGAGACATGTGACAAATGACCGAGTGGAAACTACGACCAGGGGGTGGGGAGCAGGAAGGTGTCTGTCCCTCCCTCTGCCCCACATTAGGGGCCCTCTGCAGCCTCCTCTGCCCCACTCCTGCCCTTCCCCCCAGGTCTGCTGTGTCCCCAGCTGGAGAAAGCACCTCCTGCTTGGGAATGCTGAGCCACGGGTGCTGAGGACACTGATCCAGCTCTGCCCAGCTGGTGCCTGGCTGGGCTTCTGTTTCAGCAGCACAGGGCAGGTGCTGCAAGTTTGGGGGAATAAACAGTTAAGGAAGTTTCTGCTGTGAAAACTGCGACTCTTTCCATACAGACAGATTCACTTCCCCTGGTTTTGTTCCTGAGTTCCTCTTTCCAGGACACTTCTGCCTGGGAGGAGGCTGAAGTGACAGCTGTGATGGAGGCAGAGGTGTTGGGGAAGATGAAACAGGGAAACCTTATGAATATGATTGTTTAGAAAAAGATTCTGAAAATATGAAACCTAGAATCGAAATAGAAATGAAAGCTAGCTTTGAGCTATAGGATACTGAGTGCTAGTTACTATATAACCAAAGAACAACAATCTAATCAGCTGAGGAGAATCTCTGTTGACAGAACAATACCCTTCTGCTGATAAGTGAATCCAAAGGTCGAAGCAGCAAGAGAAGAATTTGAAAAGTAGCTTTTAGAGTTTAAAATGTAACACTGTTTGGTAATGTAGTAGATCTTGTAGGCTATATGTAAATTCTATAGAATGTGTGTCATGTACTGGTTGGTTACTGGGAATTAGAATATTCACCATAGAAAAAGATATAATCTCTTAATCTCTTCTCTTACTTCCCACTCTTATTCTCTTACCCCCTCTTTCCCCTCTCTCTCTCTACCCCTTTAATTACCTTCCACTCTCATGCTCTCAGACCCCTCTTTCCACTCTCTGTCTCCCTCTTTGAGCAAGTTTACGTTGTGGCTGGCAGTGTAAACGGATCTCTTCCACCCTTTAATAATAATTTTAAATAATAAACTGCTTATCCCAAGTGCAACCTGACCTGGAGAAGTCTCTCACCTTGAGCCCGTTTTACCCCTCCACAGAGGGACCATAGGTGCCTGTGGTTTTGGGAAGGATAATGGCAGGTGTTGGAGGGTGAACAGGAACTCATGCCCCTGGAGTAGCTGGAAAACCCTTGTGCAGGGATTCTCACCTGCACTAGGACATGCAGGCTCTGTGGTCACCCCACCTAAAATCTACCCACTGTGTCAATGTTACAGGCTTTTTTCCCCCCAGCATTTTGAGGTGGTGCTCTGAATTCACCTATTCCTGCCTTGCTTCTGATGGTGATTCCCATCAGTCCCATGGCATCTCTCCTGGGCAGTGCAGCTGGCCAGGGGTCCCTCCTAACTATGACAGCAAAACCCCCACAGCCAAGGGTAACCAGGGATTTTGGGGATGGAGAATTTAATGGCATCAGCTGGCAGCTGTGCCAGTTCAACTGATGCAAAAGGAAATACAACACTTCTCCAGAGGGGCTGTTTTTTCTGGGTGTGTGTAAACAGAGACACCTTTTTACCACCTAGTGAGTGAGGTTTGGGGTTGTGTTTCCAGTTTATTCTTTAAATCTCCAGGCTTTATTTCAGCTCCCCTGGCTGGGCCAGATGTGCAGCAGCAGTGCAAGGAGCTGTCAGGTGGCTCTGGGAGCACAGATTCCATCACAGCCCAGCCGTGTCTGGGAGCCTCCCGGGGATCTCCCTGTGGCAGTGGCCTTGGGAAGGGATCAGACATCTGGAATTGAGGAGCTCACTGCCTGGAGTGGGGGGAACATGGTGGAGCCTGAGGGAGAAGATGAGATACCATTCTTGGGGACACTTCCTGCGCCATGGGGCAGCTGCCAGCCTGTGGGACAGGAGCTGGGGGACTCCAACACTTTGGGGGGCTTCCCTGCCCTCGATTCTTCCCCCCTTTTTTGGGGCTATGTCCACCTGCTTGAAGCACCCAGCTGCTGGTGAGGGCACTTGGACTCGTTTTGTGCCTTCTTTGGAGGAAAAAGAGAGGTGGGTGAGTGTGGGAGGTGATGGTGTCATTTGGGGAACCCCAATGGCTGTGGTGGGGGAGCCAATGAGTGGGGAATGAGGGGGGAATAGGCGGGATACCCCCCAA